CAAATCATTCTACAAAAAAGGTACTTGCACACGTTTGTTTGTTGCAGCTCCATTCACAATCGTGAAAACATGGAACCAACCATGCTGCCCATCAAAGCTGGACTAGATAAAAAAATATAGTACATATACACAATGGAATGTTATGCAGCCATGAAGAAGGGCATACATGTGGACTTCGCACCAACTTAGATGGATTTAGAGTCAATCATACTCAGTGATCTATCATAGAATCAAAGAACAGAGTATCATATGTTCTCACTCATAAGCAGACCTTAAAAAATTATAATACTATAAGAAAGGGATTGGCAGTAGTGGCAAACTTCCAAGGGAGGGGAGGGTGGGATTGGCAGTCGAGGGAAGCTGCTAGGGGAGGGAAGGGTCATCAACAAGAGTACCTGCATAATCAACGTTTGTATACCTAACCCTGAATTGTACCCCACATCTTTAAAAAAAATGGCGCTTAGTTTCTGTGTCCCGGGAATTGCTAAGGTCCAAGCCGAGCAGTTGTGGCCCCAGCCGCTGCACCAGGAGAGCCCCAGCTGCTAGCTCCCTAGCCCTCACTCATTCCGTCACTCATACACTCACTCATGCACCAGTACGCACACAAAAATTTTCCATACACTCACTCATTCAGGACTCGCATAGTCTGACTGACTTGGCTGCCATCTTCCCAACCTTCCCCCCTTCACCACTTTACAGATGTTACTACATTGTCCCTGGCTTGCATAGTTTCTGATACAAAATTGATCATAATTCTTATTTGTGTTTCTCTGTATGTAATATATCTTTTTTTCTCAGGCTGCTTCAAATATTTGTCTGTGTATATATTTACACACACATATGCACATACACATACATACACACACACACACAAACACAAATACTTTTCTACTTTTGGTATTCTAATTACATGTATGTTAGACCATTTGATATCATCCCACACTTCTCAGATACTCTGTGCTCCTGCATGTACTCTCCTCTCGTGTGTGTGTGTGTATAATTTTTGTCTTTGGGTTTCAGTTTGGATGACTTCTATTGAACAATTTTCAAGTTCACTAATTTTTTTTCTTAGTTGTTTTGAGTCTACTGATGAGTACCTTGAAGGCACTTTTCATATCCATAACCACATTTTTTTATTTCTAGAATTTTCATTTGATACCTTCTTATAGGTTCCTTTTTGTTGTTGAAACTATCTATCTGATCATCTTTTCCACTAAGCCCTTTGCCATATGAATCTTATTTTAATTCTCTTTCTGATAGTTCCAACATTTGTGTCTGTTGACTGTTTTATCTTTTGATTGTGCATTTTCTTCTTTCCCCTGTTTTTGGTATGCTTCGTAAATGTTTTTGTTGAAAGCCAAAAATCTTGTGTAATACAAGAGACTGAGGCAAAAAATTATTAATAATACAAAAATACAAAAAATTAATAATAATATATGCTTTTTCTTTTGGTAGACCTTTATTATGGAGGCAATATAATGAGGGTTAGAGCTGTGCTTAGGCTTTTTTTTTCTTAAGGTTATCCACATGCTTCCAATTTTCTAGTGTTACCTTGTGGGATTGTTTGTTAACAGGGATTTTCTCAGTGTTTGCACTACCCTCACCTTTAGGCCTTCTCTTTATTCCTGTGCCTCAGAGAGGGCCTCTGTCCATGTTTTTATCTGTCTTCTAGCAGTAGATTGCTGTTATTTGTCATTCAACATTAAATATTCTGACAGTGGTAGGAGAGATGGCATCTTCTGTTGTGATTTAGCTTTAATTTCAGGTGGGTACTGTTTCTCTGAGACTCAAGGGTGGGGTCTGTTAAGTGATGATGCCCCATCCCCAGTTGTAGAAGACCTCTATGGTCTGGACCCAGGATGTAACCTTACCGTTATCCCACAGGTAGAGAGGTTTGTTCTCTTCCTTTCCCCTAGTTCCACAGCAACTTAATGATTCCCTAATGGTAACAGGATTTGCTTTTCCATTCCCTGAGGCTTAAGCCTTTTGTTCTGTAGGGGAAATTGGGAAGAAGGATCTGGAAGTGTCTTTGGGCTATGTGTCTCCCCCAAAAAAGAATGCTTTCATAAGATTATTCTTGCCTTACTTCCAAATGTGTGTGTGTGTGCATGCCCAGATACACACATCTGGTAATGTCCATGGAGAAGGCCATGTAGATGGGTGCAAATTTCACTTGTGTCTATGGTACACATGAACTCTCTATTTTCATGCTAGACAACACTTGAACTTTAGCAATTCAATAACAATTTTGGCTTATAAAATTTTAAAATAAAACTTAGCTTATATGGCATCCAGTGACACCTGCTCTAGGTAAACAAGTGCTTGTGACCATATCTCCTTAAAAGTGCCTGCCTTTCCTTAGATTCTAGGTATGTTGTTTGCCCTGAAACCTCAGCTCTCTGATGTGTTCAGATTACCTGGCTGTTTTTTCTTGTTGTAAGGGGCCAAGCTCTTTTCAGTTTTCTACATCTTGAGAAGAAGGTAGCTTTCTTGATTTTTCATTTTTCAAAAAGAATTATATTTCAGAAAACACTGAAAATTAAAATAAAGAGATCAGGCTACCAGAATGATGTCAACAGTGCCTTTGCGTGACTCTCACTCCTGTCAGGCAGGAGGTGAATTCAGGGTTCTGGGCTACTAGGGGTTTACTGCCAACCTTTGGGTGTGAGCTGCATGTGTGGGCCCTTATGCTAGCTCTTGCTCATTTGTGTTCCAACTGCAAATGCTGCCTGTGGTCTACAATACCTAAGGGCAACGGAGGTGGCAGAAAACGTCCTTTATCTTCTGCTCGTCTCACCGTTGACATCAAGGTGGTTACTTTACCCCCTCCACAGGCTCTGGCACAACATGTTAGGAAGTTCTCTAGAGGTGGCCACATCTCCTTTAAGAACTTTCAACAGGTTTTTCTGATCGATGTCCTCTCTTACCTCTGATTGATGCAGTGATGCCATACGGTCCTGGGGCAGTCTTAAGTTCTGCTAGTTGTGGGATGGATATTTTTGGGGTGAATTGAACTGCTCTTCTCACTTTGCCTATGAATTCATTTCTTATTGTCTCCACTGGTGGTGGTATATGGACTTGAGAGGTATGAGCAACACTGAAAGACATCACATTGTAGGAATGCAGTGATTGCAGCAATTTGATTCAGTGATTATGCTGTAACCTTTCAAATGGTAAATGTAACACGACCAGAAAATGTATTAGCCTTCACATTTTCCTGAATATTCTGGGTAAGACTTGTACTTGCAGTTATTGTAACAAACATTGTTGGAGTCACTGGAAGCCAGTATTTATGAGTGGCATGATGATCAACGTCATGAGCAAGGCGCCTTAACTCAAAAGGCGGTTCTAGAAGGAACTCAAGCGCCTCTCTCTCCTGCCCTCCTTTTCCTTCAGAGATCTAGAAGGAGGTAACCACCAAGATGTGGGGTCATCCAAGATTGCTAGAAAGAATTCCAGGGCGGTCAGTGTGATGAAGTACCTCCGGCGCTGCCATTATTTTTGGGTCATGGGGGTTTGGTTTGTGAGGACCGCCGGGTGGTGCCCACAACCTCTGTTGCTGAAAGGCTGCAGAGACCGCCAGGAACCCACCGTGAGTGGGTCCGAATTGGCCTGAGAAGGACGGGATAGGGCCCCGAGGGTGGTGGACGCGACTACTGCTGCTACTGGGGTCCTCATTACTGGCTCCCGGGCCGGACTCGTGACCGTCGTCGAGAGGTGGCGCGGGTAGGCCTGGGAAGCCGGCCGCAGGCTCCCGCCCCTCGTTTCCCACTACCCAGGATATCCCGCGGCCCATTCAGATTCGGATACTGACACAGATTCGAGTTTTGACATCGAGGCCCTCAAACAGTTTTAACTGTCCACGATCCTGGACACTCAAGCAACAGAACACGCCCCTCGGTCGCTCCGGTCCCCTAGTGCAGAAACCCCAGCACTACCCCTTGGCCTCTGTAATTTTCCTCTTTTCAGCTGATTCCAGGAAACAGGTAAAATGAATAGTGTGGTCACTGTATTCGCTTGTCATGATGTATACTCAAGCTAGAAGCTTGTTACTGTCATGGAGCAGCGAAAAATTTGAGAAAAATGTTTTTCTCCCTAGGATAGAGTCTATTTTAGTTCACATATTGGAGAATGTGGAGCCCTGGGATTTGGATAGGCTCATATAAAGGTTAAATCTAAAATCTCATAAGGAGTCATACCCAGCAAGCCCCTAATACGTGTCCAGTGTTTAACCTGTGGAGATACGGAAATAATTTCTTGACCTAGTGTTCGTCACATCTTTCCTTATACTCATTATATTCTCTTAGCTCTTATTCCATTGTTATAACCTAATTGCCAAGGTTCATAATCAGCGACATCAAACATTTGGTCTCTGCCATTAGTGAACTGTGTTGGGTTGTGATTTGTTCCTCACCCTAGCTGGTTATTTATGATTTCCCCCATCGGCAAGTTGGAGGGAGTATTTTGTGTTTTGTAGGTGGCCTCTGCTGCTGCTCTGCTTCCAGATGATTTGTCCCTCACAGATTGTCAGCTGTACAGATAAGACCTTTTTCCTTAAGTCCTTTTGTTTACTATACTAATCTTATTAAGTATCCACTGTAAAGGTCATTTATTACAGATATGATGACAGTATCATGATTTTAGAGAGTTAAAGTGCACAACTAAAAGGGTTACCTATTTTCTCAGTATTGAATCCCTGCTTGTGTTACCCTGCACACAGAACAGAAACCGTCCATGAATTTAGCAGCATTACTTGTGTAGGTTTACACTGTGTTTTCTTTTAAATTCATTCTGTTTGCACCTATAGCTATTATTTCTCCACACTGGACTCCTGTGACTTTCAAGATGTCTTAATAGTCTAGCCCCTCCTAACAGCTTCGGCTTCCCCTAACTTCCTGAATGACTTTCTGGATTCTCTAAGAAGAGTCAGTGGCTGGGAGGGGAGCAGTGAACTGACTATAACATTTTTTGTCTGATGCTGTTGTAGTACCCTTCGACTTATGGCAAACTGCAGATATAGAGTTGAAATGGAAGCTATTTGTAAGACCTAAGAGTACATGCACTTTTGTATGTTTGTTTATATTCTTTTAAAATATCTCTGATCCTAACTGATGGCAGCTATTTGTATTTCAGGTCTTGTCTTTTAGTGCATAAGTCTTGCTGATTCACTTGTTAGAATGGCAGAAGGCTTACTTCCTAATGATGAACTTCTTAGCTGACCCAGAATGGGAGTTGAAACTAGTTTAAAATTGAAATTTCCATGCTTCCCTATACTTCCCTATATTTCAGACCTGGAGTATTTGGGACATGACATGAAGTTGATGGATTCCTTTGATTCAGTAGTGTTTTTCTTTCTCACCACCCACCCCCAACACTTTTATAAAATTGAATGAATATCTTATCAACCAATCTGTGTATTTAGGGGGAAAAATAGTAGTAGGGAGATGTCAAAATATTCCTAATAAACCATTTTCAAGTTCTGTTTGACTTTTATTACTTCAGTCATAGAAACTGTCCTGTCTTAATATTAAGTAGCATAGGAGGAAAATTCAGATGCTAAGGCCGTACAGTGTTTGATAGATTTCTTGTACACAACTGTTCTTATCTGTACTGTGTGGATTTTAGGGATCTTAACTGTTTGGAATTCTACTTTCTTTTCAGTCACTGTCTTTTCTGTTCCACTGTCTACCCTAGTCTTATTTACTATTATGTCTTATCTGCATTACTAAAAATTACAGTTTTCTCAGTCCACCTTCTCATCCCACATTCCTTGTATGATTTCTGCTTCCTTTCAGTATGCTTTTGTATGCCTGCTATCTCACCTCTGTGAGGACTAGGCTTGTCCCTGATAACAGGCAATAGCTGACAAATGGTAGTTTATATAGCCATCAAAACAGGATGGGTCAAAAGTTATACACAGGACTTGAAATGTTCAATAGTGTTATTGTCACTAATGTTTCTTTCTTTACCTTCAGCTCTTGAGACTTTTACCTTTACCCAAGACAGGAATAAAAGAGATCAGATAATGACAACTGTGCCGTTAGCAGCCAGGTCTCAGGTAAGCTAGACTTCTTCTACCTCTATTCATATGTATGTGTGTGTGTGCATTATGCACATATGTATATTATGCACATGCATATATAAATATATATAATATACTTTTAAATATGCATACATATTTCTTATCTAGGTTTAACTTATTACAGCACAAGTCTTAAGTGTATAGCTTATTTTTTAGAAATATATACATATATATGACCATCACTCACATCAAGATGTAGAACATTATTGACACCCCAGAAGGCCCTTGCATGCCCTGTCATAAGCAGTCCACCACCCTAAAGTTAACCACTATTCTGACCTCTATCACCATAGATTAGTTTGGTTTTTTCTTGGACTTCATATAAATGGAGTCAGTATGTACTCTTTTTGTATCTGCCATTTTTTGTTCAACATTTTGTCTGTGAACTTTTACCATGTTGTTACACATAGCAGTAGTTTGTTCTTTTTCATTTATGAATAGTTTTTCATTACAGGATTATACCACATTTTATTTATTCATTCTACTGTAGATGGGCTTTTGGTAGCTTCCCGTTTGGGACTACTATGAATAAGAATAATGTGAACATTCTTGTCTTTTGGTAAACATAGGCACTCATTTCTCTTGAGTGTATCTCTAGGAGTGAAATAGCTAGATCATAGGGTATATATTTGGTTAGTTTTAGTAGATATCGCCCAACAATTTCCCAAAATGGTTATTTCAATTTATGGCAATGTATAGTCGCTCCACATTCTTACCAATAGTTGTCATTTGTTTACAGTATCTTATTGGGGTTTTAAAATTTTCCACTTTTCCAATAAGCAATGATGCTGAACACCATTTTAAATGTTTATTGGCTACATGGATATCCTTTTATGGGCAGTCTCTGTTTAGATATTTTTTCTATTTTTCATTACATGCGGGATACTTCCCTACCCCAAGTTGTAGTAGTTCTTTCTTTATTATGGGTATAAATCCTTTGTCAGATATATGTTTTATGAAATATCTTCTCCCAATTGGTGACTGTCTTTTTTACTCTCTTAATGATGCCTTTTGATAAACAGATTTCCTTAGTCTTAATGAAGTCCAGTATATTTGTTTGTTTTGTGTAAGAAATATTTTCTTACTCAAAGGTCATGAAGATATTCTTCTGTATTTCCTTCTAGAGGATTTGTTGTTTTAACTTTCTACCTGGATCTGTGATTCATCTCAAATTAAGAATGTGGGATATAGGTCAAATTTTTTCCCCCCAAATGAATATTTAATTGATTCCAGATCATTTATTCAAAAGTCTGTCTTTTATCCACTGAATTGCATTAATTCCTGTATTATAAATTTGGTGATGATATACAGTTGCATCTGTTTTAAATTCCCTATTCAGTTCCCTTAGTCTAATTCTCTGTCTGTGAACCAACATCCAATGACAATCACTGTTGGTCAAGAAGTAAAATAATTTTGCAACTTGGAGGGTTTTCCTCCAAGGTAGTTAAAAATATATTTAGAAAAAAATAATTGACAGAACTTTCTTTGGCACCTGACTGATAGGTTCCCTTAATCTCATACTCCAGGTTAAGACCATTTCCTCTAGAGCTCTATTTTTGAAATACAGAACTAAATTCCAGGGTTTGAAAACTTTTAATAGCTGCCTTTTTAGTCCTATCTTGATCCTCATACACTAAGTTGATCTAGCCTTTCCCAAATAAGCAGTATTTTCTTATACCTGTCTATCCTCACTACCTCTCCATAAAGGTGGGATGGGTGTGGGAAGTCATTGATCTGAAAGCTTTGTGCTTGGGATAGTGGGCAAGGAGACAAGCATGAAGGAAGGAGTGGGATGAAAGCAGAACTGGGAGATGGCAGTAATATGAGTAACCAAATAACCAATGGGATATTTACAAAGTGAGGAGGGGCTTAGAGCTAAGGTGGCACCTACGCACAAGGTCAGTTCTCCTTCCTTATGTGTACTTTCATGCTCAAGCCCAAGCCCAGCTTTAATACAGCAGGTTTAGTGTCTACGTGGAAGTCGCATGTTTAGAAGCTTGGAATGGAGATATACTTGGTTCTAACTGGGAAAGTATGCCACTCTGTCTGGCTACCTTTTTTTTTTTTTGACTTGTAGTCTCACTCCGTCGCCCAGGCTGGAGCGCAGTGGCATGCTCACGGCCACCCCAGCGTCAACCTGCTGGGCTCAGGCGATCCTTCCACCTCAGCCTTCCAAGTAGTTGGAACTACAGGTGCATACTACCATGTCCAGCTAATTTTTGATGTATTGAAGAGATGAGGTCTCGCTAAGTTGCCCAGGCCGTTCTTGAACCCGTGGGCTTAGGCAGTCCATTCACCTTGGCCTCCCAAATTGCTGGGATTACAGGCTTGAGCCAGTGCACTCGGCCTGGCTGGCTACCTTTAACTCTATATCCTCTTCTTCCATCCCTGCTAAATTTTACACAACAACCCCTCAGGCACATGAAAGACCTAATATTGCATACAAAACATTGTAGGGGCCCTTCCCATTGACAGTTGACAATCAACAAAATACTGAGGTCTAGGAGAGCAGGAACTTGTCATTTCAGGAATCAGTGACTTTTGAGGATGTTGCTGTATACTTCACTAAGAAAGAATGGGCCAGCCTGGTGCCTGCTCAGAGAGCCTTGTACCGGGATGTGATGTTGGAAAACTATGGGGCTGTAGCCTTCCTAGGTAAGATTTCTGCTGCTGGTCTCTGCCTTGGTCTTCAGAGGTTAAAAGATTCTCTTATAATTATTAGCTGACCCTAAATGGCAATGTCAGAAGTTTTCAGGTAAGGAAAGCACTGGGGCTTGTTGACCTCCAAAGGACTTTCCTTACTTTTATTTTCTATTTTTTGAGTTGTAGTCTCATTCTGCTACCCAGGCTGGAGTGCAGTGGCATGCTCACGGCCACCACAGCCTCGACCTGCTGGGCTCAGGTGACCCTTCTGCCTCAGTCTTCCAAGTAGCTGGAACTACAGGCACGCACCACCATGCCTGGCTAATTTTTAAAAATTTATTGTAGAGATGAGGTCTTGCCAAGTTGCCTGGACTGGTCTCAAACCCGTGGGCTCAGGCATTCCCCTTGCCTCTGGCTCCCAAGGTGCTGGGATTACAGGAGTGAGCCACCACGCCTGGCCTTTCCTTCTATTTCTATCATAAAAGCCTCACTCCTTTCCTGTCTGCCTTAGAGGTGATTCACTGGGTATGGAGGTGATTCTCTGAGCTGTATCTTGGTACCCACAGCTTAATATTGAGCTTCCAAATCACCTTGAGAGAATTGAGTCCCTTTTTCTCCCTCTGAGATTTGCTCTTAGGAACTGTGTGTCTTTTTTCCACAATGGGATTTTCCATCCTCTGACAAAGAAGGGAAGAAATCTTGTTTTCCTTTAAACAGAAATCTGCCTCCCAGGATGTTTCAGGTTTACTTGGGAGCACTGTCCTGAGGCTTCTTCCCAGGATTCCTCCCTGTATCTCTTTAAGGTACCTAGGAATTACACTCCTCACCTCCCCTGATCATTCTTGCAGCTACAAACTGAAATTGACTCCTGTGACTCTGCTCATCACTTTTTTGTTTTCTTTCCTTCGAGCAGTGCCACACACTTCTAAACCAGCTCTGATCTCTCAGCTGGAGCAAGGGAAAGAACCCTGGTTCTCCAAGCCACAGGGGGCCCTAAGCAGGAAGGGCCAGAGAGCAGGCTCCACAGGTGAGTTAAGCAAGGGGAGTCTTCTCCAGTTTTGTCTCTTTCTTTGCCTTCATTTCATCAAAATGAAAGGTGTGTGTTCTCTGTGTCCAGCATCATGGAGTACATTGGGATCCTTGATCATGCTCTTTCTGACTGGTCGGTCATTCCTTGCTTCCCAACACCTTTAAAATGTATTACAAACACCCTGAAATGGTTTCACACACTGGGATACTTTTATCCCTTGGGAATATCTAGAAAAATTTTTCTAAGTATTTTACTGATTATGTGTGATCACCTGTTTCCAGTTTTCCCATTTTACAAAATTGATAAGTTGCTGCAGTATTATCTTGTCCGCTAACCAGTAGCACAAGTAGAAAAATTTACTTTACTTTTCATGAGAATTAATACATTAATATCTTCAAATCATTTTTATGCTGAAATATTTTAAGCTTACAATTAGTATGATTTTCCTCCCTGTTAGGATACATCTCAAAGCAAAGAAGATTTATATACTCAGCTAAAATAATATCATGTAAAATAAAATTTAAAAAGTCATCAGTGCGGGTAACACAGGAGAAAGGCTTAATTCTTTTTTTTTTTTTTAATTAATCAGTATTTTTTATTATGGTTTTGTGGGGTACAGTTAAGGGTTAGGTGTACAAGTACGTTTCATTCAGGCACCCTGTTGATAAGAGGTGTTTTCCCATCCCCAGACAGATATTTGCTACTATTAATCCATCCTGCCCCCCATAGTTTCCCAGTACCATCAGTCATTTTCTTATAGTATTACATTGGGTGTTCAAGGTCCATTATATGAGTGAGAACATGTGATATTCGGATCTTTGTTTCTGTGAGAGTTCGCTCAGTATTATAGACTCTAGTTTCATCTAGGTTGCTGCGAAATTCATGATTTTGTTCTTTTTTATGGCTGCGTAGTATTCCATCGTGTATATGTACCACATTTTTTAAATCCAGTCCTCTTTTGATGGGCAGCATAGTTGTTTCCAGGTTCTTGCTATTGTGAACAACGCTGCAATAAACATACGTGTAAGGCTTAATTCTTAATCTTTAAATATCAGTTCTCCAGGTAAGAAGTTTAAGAGCCATCTTAAATAATGTCAAATGTGCATTTTCTTTTTCTGTAGACTAATAGATTTCTATATATTTAATGTTTTTCTGTTCTTTAAAATTACTCATTTTGATGTGTAAAGCAGACTCTCATGTCCTTTTTTAAACAGCTTTCTGGAGATACAATTCACAAACCATACAATTCACCCATTAATGTATGCAATTTGGTGGTATTTAGAATAGTCACAGAGTTGCACAAGTATTACCACAATTTAGTTTTAAACCTTTCTTATCACCCCCCCCCCCACAAAAAAAGCACATATCTATTAGCAGTCACTCTCCATCCCCCTCTCCAAACTCTCAATTTTGGGCACCACTTATCTACTTTCCTTTTTCTATAGACTTGCCTATTGTGGATATTTGATATTCATGTGTTTATACCATATGGGGTCTTTTGCAAGTGACTTTCATATAATATCATGTTTCCATGGTTTATTCATTGTATAATATGTGTCAGTACCTCATTTCTTTTTATGTGTGAATAATATATTGGATAGATAATACACATTTTGCTTATTCATCATTTGATGCATTTGAGTTGGTTCTATTGTTTGGGCATTATGAGTAATGCTGCTATGAACATTAGTGTACAAGTTTTAATGCAGATATGTTTTTTCATTTCTAATGGGTACAAACTCTAGATACATACTTTCTAGTCATGGTAACTCTTTAACATTTGAAGAATGCTAAAACTTTTTCCTGAGTGGCTGAACCATTTTAATTTCTCCCAGCAACGTATGAGGGTTCCAAATTCTCCATATCTTCACAAACACTTAATATTGTCCATCTTTTTAATTAAAGCCATTCTAGTGGTGTGAAGGGATATCTCATTGTGGTTTTGATTTGAGTTTTCCTAATGACTAATGATGTTGAACATCTTTTCTTGTGTTTATTGCCGTTTGTGTATTATCTTTGGAGAAATGTCTATCCAGACCCTTTGCACATTTTTAGATTGGTTTACTTGTATTTTTATTTTTGTGTTGTAAAAGTTCTGACATATTCTAGATACTGAATCCTTATGAGATACATGATTTACAAATATTTCATTCCATTTTGTGGATTGTCTTTTCACTTTCTGTATAGTGTCCTTCGAAGCACAAAAGTTTTTAGTTTTGATAAAGTTCCTTTAGATTTTCTGTATAAAAATGATGTCATCTGCAAATATAAATAGTTTTACTTCTTCTTTTTAAATCTGAATGCCTTTTATTTTTTTCTCTTTGCCTAATTACCCTGGCTAAAACTTTCAGCACAATATTGAATAAAAGCTTCAAGAGTGGACATTCTTATCTTACTCCTTATTTAGGGGAGGGCGTTCAGTTTTTCACCATTAATTATTATGTTTGCTATTGTTTTCTTATAAATGCTTTTTATTAGGTTGTGGAAGTTTCTAATTTGTTGAGTTTTTATCATAAAATGATGTTGGCATTTGTGAAATGACATTCTGTGACTATTAAGTTAAGATAATCATATAGTTCTTATCTCTTATTCTATTCTTATGGCATATTGCATTGATTGATTTTGTATGTTGAACCTTACCTTATATTTCTTGGATAAATCACAATGAATGCAAATGTACAATCTTTTTTTATATGTTGCTGGTTTGCTCATATTTTGTTTTTGTATTTTAGTATTTTTGCTGGGTTTTTTTCTAGTAATTTCCTATTCTCTGTTTCATTTTTTTCCTCTTTAGTTTTTATTATTTACCTTTTCCTCTAGCTCTGGATTTATTTTGCTTTTGTTTTATCTTAAGAAAGTAGTATTTTACTTTCGTAAGGTGGAAGGTTGGGTTATTGGTTTGAAATTTTTCTTCTTTTTTTTTTTTTAACATTGGCAGTTATATATAGGCAGTTAATACAGGTATATGCTTTTCCCTAAGCACTGCTTTAGCTGTAAATTTTGGTATGCCATATTTTCATTTTTATTAAGCTAACATTTCTATATCACTTATGATTTCTTTGTCTCATTGATTACTTATTGAGACTTGTTTTAAAGCCTATCATATGGTCTGTCCTGGAGAATATTTTTTATGTATTTAAGAATGTGTATTTTTTTGTTGGGTAGAGTGTTCTATAGATTTCTGTTGGATTTACAGTATTGTTCAAGTCTTCTGTTTCCTTGTTGATATTCTGTCTAGTTCTGTCTATTATTGAAAGTGGGGTATTGAAGAATTCTATTATTGTTCTCTCTCTTCAATTCTTATGGTTCTTGCTTCATGTATTTCAGGGTTTCTTTTTTTTTAGGTACATATATGTTTGTAGTTAACTTTTACTGAGAGCTGGAGTGCCTATACTAATGTTAGACAAAATAGACTTCAAAACAAACATGTTACTAGAGATGAAAAGGATATTCTATAGTGGGAAATTGCTCTTAGTGAAGTAAATCTGGGTCCATTCTCCTAGAGCAACTCTTTTTGAATTGTGGTGTGCATACATCTCACCTGAGACCTTGTTAAAATGATTACCAACACCATCCGATGTACAACCTATGAATCTGCATGTTTAACAGAGCATTCCAGGTGGTTATGATACAAATGATATAAGGATCACATTTTGGGAAGTCAGTCTTGGATGGCAAAGATTTGGTGACAATATGATACATGAGTGAAGTTATTTTGGGTGGTGGATTTGATCTGTGTTCTCCAAGTCAAATACTATGTTCTCTAACTATTTTTTGAATATTACTTATGTTTCCCAAGTAAATTGTAGGCTTCCTGATAACAGGAATAGTTTCATACCTTTCACACTTCTGCCATAATGTTTTATACAAAACTACTTGATATTTTTCACTTGATAGATTAAGGAGATTTTCTTCTATCATTATTCTTCCCTGCTTTTTCTATGCCTTCTATTTAGTTTTTCCATTCCCATTTGTTTTCAGGCTTTTTACACTGTCACTCACTCCCATAGCCCATGACCTTACTTATTTAACATTTCCTATCTTTATGGCTACCTTTTTGTCTAGAACTCTCTTTGGACTTATAAACCCTGGTAAAGCTTTCTCTTCCTTTTTGGGATTCAGGATTTTTCCTTGGCTTGCTTCATGTTCTGTATGCTCTAAAGCTATTTTATAAGCATGTGAAAACTGTGTTCTAATAGAACATATTAATCTCACTTGCTGTTTAATTCAGGAAAACTATGACCCATAGGCCAAAATTGCTACCTGTCTTTTTGTGTATGGCCTGTGAGATAAGAATGGATGATTTTTTTTTTTTTTTAGTTATTGAAGGAAATCAAAAGAATAACATTTTTTAACATATGAAAATAATATGAAACTCAAATTTCAATGTCTATAAATGAAGTTTTATTGGAATACAGACTCATTCATTTATGTTTTGTCTATGACTACTTTCACATTACAACAATGAAGGTGAGTACTTGCTCCAGAAACCATGTGGCCTGAAGAGCCTAAAATATTTATCATTTAGCCTTTTACAGTGAATATTTGCTAATTCCTGGTATACATCCCTTTAATATTGCCAAGAGGTGGTATTTTTATGTATTTCTTCTTTTAACAGGTGGAAAAACCTGGACTGAGAATGAGCATTTGACTTCAAAACAAATCATTTATTTAAAACACAAAGCCTGTGGCATGGTATCAGGTGAGTGTCCAAGGGCTGGACGTGATTTTCAAGATATCTGCAAGTCAGAGGGCAAGTTAGAGAGACATAGAGGACATTTTACAAGAGAAGAAATGAATAAAAATGAGAATTATTCTGCAAAGGATATAGTCAATAATGAGAAAAGTCATATAGAAAATAGAAGCCATTCACAAAAGAAATCAGAAGGAAATATAAGTGTTAGTTCTCAGCATGAAATGCATCTGCAAGTACCAACTATACAGATTTCCTATAAATCTGATGTGTGGGACAAACATTGGAGTCACAGTTCAGACTTGTTTCAACACTGGAAAGACTACACTGGAGAAAAACCGTATCAGTGTAAGGAGTGTGGCAAAGCCTTTAGCCTTAACTCCACTTGTGTTAGGCACCAAAAGATCCATAGTAGAAAGCAACCCTATGTGTGCAAGGAGTGTGGCAAGACATTCTGGAGCAACTCCCAGTACACTGCACACCAGCGAATTCACACTGGAGAGAAGCCCTATCAGTGTAAGGAATGTGGGAAAGCCTTTAGCTTCAACTCCAGTTTTATATATCACCAAAGGATCCACACTGGGGAGCGACCCTTTGTGTGCCAAGAGTGTGGCAAGGCTTTTAGGTCCAGCTCTCACTGCACTAAACACCGACAAATCCACACTGAAGAGAAGCTCCATAAGTGTAAGGAGTGTGGCAAAGCCTTTATCTTCAAATCCGCACTGTTTAATCATCAGAGAGTGCACACTGGGGAGAAACCCTTTAAATGCAAGAACTGTGGGAAGGCCTTCAGTGAAAAAAATACTTTTATTCATCATCAGAGAATTCATACTGGTGAGAAACCATATGTGTGTAAGGAGTGTGGCAAAGCTTTTCGTGTGAATTCACAACTCATTCGCCACCAATTGCTGCACACTGGAGAGAGACCCTACCAATGTCCAGAGTGTGGGAAAACCTTCACCTGGAGCTCAAACCTCATCCAGCATCTGAAAGTTCACTCCGGAGAGAAAACCTATCAATGTAAGGAAAGTGGGAAGGCCTTCAGGCAGAAAGGCAATTTAGATAGACATCAGCAAATCCACCCTTGCAAGACAGATTTTAAAGAGAGTTTGGGATCGGAGCAGCAGCAGAGACTTCATGATAGAGAAGGATGCTATGAATGTAAGGACCGTGGAGAAATTTTTATTTGGAATTCAGATTTTATTCACCATCAGAGTGTTCACTCAGGAGGGAAACTTTTAAATGAAACTGTTAGTTCATATTTCCCACAATTGCAGGTTGTCAGGCCCTCCCTTTCTTGGTCAGCCCTCTATCTTTTTCCTCCCCAAAGGGTTTCCTCTGCTCCAGCCAGTTTTTTCTCCCCACTTGCTGCATCACACACCCTCTTACTACCTACCTCTAAGCCCTTGCTCTTTCTGCTCCCCCAGATGCCTTCCCCTCTTCTCTCCCCCTTTCTGTGATCTCTCCTGGACTTTCATAGGTCCTCTGAGGCTTACAATATTGACACTGTCTTTTGCACTCAGTCTTACATGCACCCTCCTCTACCTGCATCATTATCTTTGTGTAGATGCGGCAGTATACTTCCTACTCAGTTAGAAGCTGGGGGTTTTCTCTCCTATCGTGGACTCAGGTTTTTGTTTTTTGTCTGTTGCAGCCGAGTCATCACTTTTTCTCAAGGGCAGCAATCACATAATTAGTTGAAAAAAGGTCAAGAAATATGAGTATATTTACACTGTAAATGAATGTATGGCATGACCATTTGATGTAGATTATAGGAATGGTAGAAAGGAGCAATTGCATTCAGTTCAAGAAAGGAGAGATTCAAAACGAAACTGAAGGTATTGCTGTAAGAAATGGACCTTGTAGAGGGATGTGTATGCATAGGCTTCATAGGAAGCTGTAACCTAGTAGTAAATGGGAACTCTTTCTCTGGATTGATGCTTTCCATCCTGTGGTTCTCAAACATCTCTGCTGTTTACTTTTTCAGGAATGATTTCATTAGGGTTCCACATTCTATGATTACTAGCCATTGGGTTCATTTGACATTTCATAGGAGACGGACTTATTAAACAGAAAGTCAATTTGTTATTTTTCCATATGGAACATTTTTTCCAAAGGAATATTTGCTGTCTAGTTTTTAATCTATCTTTCTTTTTCTCCTTGCATAACTAGGTAGACTAGCTTTATGTATGTAAAGGTGTAAGCCTTTGTAGGTTGAATGCTTCTAGAATAGGGTGATGTATTGCCTCTCTTTCCCCTGCTTCCCCTTTGTGAATATTAACTTCTTTTATTATAGTCAAAGCTTATGCTTGCCTAGAAGCTGCAGTTTAGAAAAATATAAGTGAGCTAGATGTTGATGACCTTGATCCAGAATAGTCACATGTTTAGCACCCATTTCATCCAAGGGTAGAAAGTATGGACTCCAAACAAGAAGGTCCTTTAGCTGAAAGCAGCATTATCACTTGGAGAAGTGGCCTAGAGGAGAGATACTGTGAGCTGAGAAAAGAAAGTGCCTCAGTTAATGGGGTACCAAGGTTTATTTAAACAGCAGAGATGCTTGAGAACCACAGGATGGAAAGCATCAATCTAGAGAGCAGAGAGCACATCCCTGGAGGCCAGACTGCTGCCTGGAATGTGGCACTCATGGCCTGAGTACATTATTGGGTAACCACATTGCCGTGACAGATGATAGGAAATTGCATCCATGGACTATTTCTGGATATACGGTGAAAAAGAACTTGTCCTTGAGATCTGTTCTTGATATTAAGAGGAAAATTACCAGGTCAAGGGAGAGATAAAGGAGACTGAGTGCTCACATGAAACAGTCCCACATATTAAGCTGGGACCAACTGAATTATATTAATCCCAGTATATGTAATTACTAGCCTGCATGAAGCTCCTTGAGTCTGGGGCACATTGAGCCATCTAAATTACTAGGAAACTGAAAATGTTTAGCATGATGCTAAGAGATATCTTTAAAATTAACGTTGGGATGGTGAACTACACTTAAATCTCTAAGAAGCTGATATGTCATGCTGAAGAAACTGAACTTCATCTTTGGGAAGGGAAGCCAATCAGGAGTTTAAAATAGGGCTATACAATAGATTGGTGTTCTAGCAAGGTCGTTGACAGCATGGGAGGAATTAAGGGTGACTTGAAATAGAAGCCAGGAAAAGTAGATAGACCAGTTCCAAAATGGAAGTCTGTGGACCAGGGAAAATCCATGACAACATTTCTACTAATATGAAGTCAGAAAATGAGGAAGGTGTATTAGAAATCTGTGTCTATAGGAGCATATAAGTCTACATAAGATGACCCACCATTCTTGGAAATTTACATGAAGTTGTTCTTTCTCCTTTTGACATTAAACTTATGTGAAAAAACCATGCAGATTGTAGGCTTTTGTTATAGTTATACTTTGTTATTTAATGGCTTTAATTGGAAAATAAAAAGATAGCTATGCTATATTTGTTTCCTTTGCCCACCATTCAAGTTTTTAAAACTCTTTTGTGAAATCAGAAAGACAGATAACCAGTGTGATAAGGTTTTTTTGGGGATCAACTTTGGAAAACTGAGTTAGGAAGTTAAACCAGTGCCTTTCATAATATCTGTGATTAAGGATTGTCCCCCCATGCCCCTCACCAATCTTTCAGAAATGAATAAATGCTTCTATTGTACATGACTAACACATAGCTCGTGCTACGTGTGACTCATCACCTGAGTTAAAAACTGGCATAAACCCTGTGTGAGATGGGTTTACTGATCATATGCTTGGATGTCTTGGCAATGTCAAATTGCCATATAAATTTTAAAACATTTATTCTCAATTTATGCTTTCATGGACCAGTAAGAAACAATCGCAGATGGACACCAGTCCACAAACGTTTGAGTTGAAAAAGACACTGCTTTTCCTGGGATCATGGGGGCTAAAGGGAAACACATTAAGCCCTCGAGAGAGAAGTACTGTGATTGGAAAAGAACTTGGGAATTAGGAGCTGGTCTGTAGTGTAAAATTCTCAGAGAAATGACTGGAACCATCAAGAACCTTTGTTGAATAAGACTTATGCTTATTGAGATTGTGTAATTGTTTTATGTCAACTAGAATTTGTAGCTCCCAGATGACTGCAATGCAGTAAAGATAAGTTCTTAAATGATCTCTGAATATGTGGTGAAGGAGGTGTTTTGAAAATATCTGCTTGAGAGAGTGAATCAGCAAAGTTGACTAGGAGTCAGGCTTAGAAACCACTAGTTTGGGAGCTCCCCTGCAGTGTTTAGTCTGGTTATAAAATCTCTGATGTCCAGTTGTGATGGCATCAATAACTATGCCTGCTACTAGTGACCTTGAGTATCCTTGTGGGGTGCAGTGCATAAAGTCAAAGAAGAGATGGAAGGCAGGTTGTAGAGAGTGCTCAGAACAAATTGCTGGCATGGCCTGCCCTTCGCTATTGAGATCCATAAAATGTTTTGATTCCTCCCTTGTGTGAGCAGTGAGTCTGTTGTGGAAACAAGGTTGTCCAGGAAGTCTTCTTCTCAATAATAATAGAAATAACAGTAGTTGCACTACCATTTATTGAGCACTTACCATGAACCAGATCCTGTGTTGTGGACTTTATATGTTTTATCTTATTCCTACAATAAGTGTGAGGCAAGGACTCATTACTGTCAGGACTTTACAGGTAACTACACGGGGACTTATTGAGAGGATAGAATTCAAACACAGAGCATGACATCAGGATCCACACATTTGATCATGGTTGCACCACCTCCTTTATTCATGTAAGCTTACTGGTGCTTTGTACGCTAAACTAGAATATTTGCGATAAGGGATCCTAAGCTTCTCTTTCCTACTTTTGTCCATGTGCTGCTGACAGTTCTCCCATGATCCAGCTCCCATATATGTGAAGGAGCCAGCTACATCCTCTGTCAGGATTGACAGTGACTGAAGATCTTGTTCAAGAGCACTCTGTTTGAAGGGTCACTTAAATAAAAAATGAGGATAAGAAATAGAGAGCTTCGGGAGAGCAACTGTAGCCTTGGTCACAGCTTAAGGGTTGGGGAGACAATTTCCAGCCATTTTGGTTGGAAACTGATGGCACGTAAATGAATGTATGTGTGAGGACAAGACTGTGTATGTAGCAGTCTGTTGAGCTATGCAAATGTACCAAGAAGGTGACAACCACTTGGACTTGCTAAAAACTGAATTAATTTTAAGCAATACACTTGTATCTCAGTTTTATTTGATTATGACACTGATATTCTGTACCTCCAATCCTGCTCCTCCAGTAGATCCCCATTTTTATTTCTCTCTGTCCATCACTGGCCCTTGTCCATATGCACACATAATTGAACCATTATAGAGAAATGTGTTGCATTCCTTTCATTATTATCATCTTAAGCATCTTCCTCTTTCCCTAATTCTGTATACTCTTTATAATTACTGTTTGTGAATGGAAATACTCTTCTTTATTCACCTCTTCAGATTGTGAATTCTTTTTAGGTAGAAACTATGTATCATATTTTTTTCCCTCCAGCATCCATCCAGGAGGTGATAGCTCATTTTTATCAAAGTACATTGATGGGTATTAGGAAATTTCTGTTTGTGAGCTATTGTAAATAATATTGCTGTGAACAATGTCATGAGTATAGTTTTTTCCTCTTCTTTTGAATTATTTCCTTGAAATAAATTCTCAGGAATGATATTAACCAAATTCAAGAGTATAATCATTTTATGTTCTATAAACATGTTGCCATAATGCCTTTTTAAAAGATTGTGCCAATTTACATACATCAGAAATGTATGAGTACAGCATTTGATTTCAGTCTTGTCAAAACTATTATTATAATTTAAAACTTTTAAAAAACTGATATAAAAGGATATTTGTTTGCTTTTATTTATATTTCTTTACTGTTCAGTGCGTTGAACATTTTTGTTAGTTTGCTAATTTTAATTTCATTGTGAAAATTTTCCTTTTGTGTCATGTGTCTTTTAATACACTGAATTCTTAATGTTTTACATAAGAATTTGAGATCTTGAATGCAATGTATAAAAACCCAGTGTTAATCAACCTTCAGAGAAGTGATACCAACTCATTTCTACTTTATGATACATTTTAAAAATAAAATTTAATTTAAAAACATCTAACCATCTGGAATTTATTTTGAAATACCTAAAGGTATGTCCTAAGTAAATAAGTATTTCAAGACCCACTTATTTATGATGACCTCCATAATCATATGTCTAAATTCTGACATGTGAGGGAGGACCCCCGAAAAAACCCAGAATTATTTTTTGGTGGGCAGGTTTCTTGTACAGGCTTCCTCCAATAGGTAAGTGTTCCAGGAACCCATCGGCATCAGTGTACCAGCTAGTGTTGTTCTGAGAGGCTACATTCAGCTTCAATGCCAATTGTGAGGCCAAAGTTATTGGAGAAAATTTATGACCCAGAAAAACTTGTTTAATCCCTTCCCAAACAGAGGTAGATTTATAAACATGGCTGGAGGGAAAGTTTGGGAAAATGATCTCTACTACCTCCCTTCCTTCCTGGATAATTCAGGGGAAGAAGTGGAGTGTGAGGCAAGAGCATCCCGTCTGGTCTGGGAATGGGGTGACTGAACGGAGGGCCAAGTTTCTTCATCTCTGGAGTTTGCTAATCATGAGCATCAGAATAAACAGGTTATGCTACTGTGGGGATGTGGGGGCAGAGTAGCAGGAGAGGCCATTCTTTTCCTGTCATGTTTTAGCCATGAGTGGAGTTTGGCTTTAAGGGTTACAGTTTTCTAGTAGGCATAGGTAGGCTATGGAAATGGGATCCTAAAGTGGTTTGGAAAACCCAGAGCCTTCCCTGTGCTGAGAGAAATCTGTCAGATGTTGGGGTAGACTGTTTAGTGAGGACAGGTGTCTGTGCTTCTGTAGGATCACGTATGCCAAGAAAACTGCTCAGAACTAATTGGACGCCTGAGCCTAAGGGCCACCCTGTTAAAATATCTGCCTTGAAAGCCATCCATGCCAAGAAAACCTACCACCAGACCAGTAACTTTAAGGAAGGAGACGCTCTAAAAGAGAGAATCCGTACTGGAGAGTTACTGATATGATAACTGAAACAATTTCTTGACAATATCCAAGTTTTTGCTCCAGGAAGACTGAGATCTCAGAAAAACCTGTGCAGTCATAACAAAAATGGTAGTTTTACTTTTTTTAAAACTGAGTTTTGTAGCACAATGAAAATTTAAATAGCACTAATTGTTTTTTTGAATTTGTTTTAAAGATGTGGGGTACAATTCACGGTTAGGTATACAAATGTTCATTATGCAGGTACCCTTGTTGATGAGGTGGATCCCTCCCTCCCCTGGCAGTTTCCTCTCAACTGCCAGTCCCACCCCTCCTTCCCTGGCAATTTGTTCCAGGTCTGCTTATGAGTGAGAACATATGGTACTCTGTTCTTTGTTTCTGTGATAGATCACTGAGTATGAGAGACTCTAAATCCATCCAAGTTGCTGTGAAGTCCAAATGTTTGTTCTTCTTTATGGCTGCATAATATTCCATTGTGTATATGTGCCAATTATTAACAATGCAAAAAGTGTGTAAGGTCCTTATAAACTTCACAGTACCCCACAAACTTGCATCCAATAGGGATGTAACAGGCCAGTTAAAATTTTGCTTACATTTTGTGCTTTAAAATATCATTCAATCACTCCTATTTAACATAGTACTGGGAGTCCTAGCCAGAGCAATCAGGCAAGAGAAAAAATAAAATGTATCCAAATAGGGAAAGAGAAAGTCAAATAATCTCTCTTTGAAGATGATGAGATTGTAAATCTAGAAAACCCTAAAGATTCCATAAAAAAAAAACTAGACTGAATAAGCAACTTCAGTAAAGTCAAAGGATAAAATCAACTTTCAAAAATCAGTGGCATTTCTATATAACACCTAATTTCAAGCTGAGAACCAAATTAATGCAATTCCATGATACTTGCCACAAAAAATAAAATAAAATACGTGGGAATAAATCTCACCAAGGAGGTGAAATATCTCCACAACAAGAACTACAAAACATTGCTGAAAGACATAAAAAATAACACTAACAAATGGAAAAACATTTCATGCTTATGGATTGGAAGAAGCAATATTGTTAAAATGTTCATACTGCCCAAAGCAATCTACAAATTCAACACAATTTCTATCAAACTACCATCATCATTTTTCACAGAATTAGAAAAAAAGCAACACATAACTCTTAAATTCATATGGAAGCAAAGAGTTCAAAGAGCCAAAGCCATCTTTAGTAAAAAGAATTGATTTTAAAAAACTCCTTTAAAAATTGGGCAAAAGACATGAACAGACACTTCTCAAAAGAAGACATACAAGCAGCCAACAGACATATGAAAACATGCCCAACATTATTAATCATCAGAGAAATGCAAATCAAAACCACAATGAGGCTGGATGCAGTGGCTCATTGTTGGGAGCCAACATCTATAGCTACATGGCTGAGACCTGTAAAGGCCCATCTGGAAGATCGCC